GAGCGCCCCGGGCGGAGCGGGGAGGCGCGCGGGCTCGGGGGGTGGGACTGGCCCCCCCTCGCGCCCAGACACTCAAGGACACGGACACAGGCAGAGCCACAGGCACACGCGCGCCCGCAGGTACCGCCGCGCACACGGGGCACGCTCACACGCACTCACACTCAGGTACAGGCACTCACACTCACACACTCATAGACACACACACATACTCATACACTCGTAAGCACACACACAGAGGCGCACACTCATACACTTATAGAGGCACACACTCGCACACACCCACCCACACACAGGTACACTCAGGCACAGACCCCAGGGACGTACGCGCACACTCGCAGGCACAGCCGCGGCCCCCGCCCGGCCCGGGCCGAGCCCTTGGAGCGCCCCGGGCAGCGGACATGTACCAGGACTATCCCGGGAGCTTCGACACGTCCTCGCGGGGCAGCACGGGCTCTCCGGGACACCCCGAGCCTTACTCCGGCGGCGCCGCGCAGCAGGTAGGGGGGCGCCCTCTCCCCGCCCGGTCCCGGCGGGGCAGGGAGCGAAGTCCGGCGCCACACCCAGGCGCGCCGGATCCGGCCTCTCCCTGCTTGGGCCGCAGGAGCAGCCCGGGGACTAGGTGGCTCGCTCCCCTGGGCTCTGCTGGCCCCTGCTGGAGTGAGCTTGGGCTTGAAGCAGCCGCGCGTGAGTGTGAGGGGCCGGGCTCCGCTCCCGGGGGCTCGGGGAGGGGGCTCCCGCCGCAGTGGCTCTTCTCCCGGGGACTGAAACTGGCCCGCAAGCGGCTGGGCACCGACGTGGAGAGGAATGGGAAGCAGCGGGCCAGTCCCAACACTGCCCGGCTGCCTCTGGCCTGTTTGGGGCAATTCTTCTCTTGCTGCATGGCCACCGCCAGGGAAGATTTCGGGTGCCAGAAGCTGTCCCGGCTCGTGCTCGCTCAACTAGCTTGGTTTTATTTATTTATTTATTTGTTTTATTTCTTTTTGACTCTCGTGCCCACGTTTTAGTCCTTGCCCAAAGTGCTGTGCCTGGAAGGGGGCAGATGTGTGGCCGAGTGGAAGGCAGGGCATGAATGTGCGGGCTGGGCTAAGGAAGTAAGGTACTGGGGCCAAACCAGAAGGACTGAGTGAGATATAAAGTCGGAAAGTGAGAGCCCTTGATTGATTGATTTTTTTTTAGGAGGTGAAGGGACCCCCCGAAGCTGTCAGAGCTGTCTGTCCAACCACACCGGAGACCCAAATGAGATGATACAAGTGTTTACATTTACCCCCCTCCAAATGCCACGCAACGTCTCCAAACCTTGATGGGAGGTTGGGCATGAGAAATTATTTCTGGTCCTGACCTCCGCAGGCAACTTCTCTGAGTAGAGAGGGTAGAGACGGTCCTTCATTGTTTTTAGCCAAGAGTTGACCACTATAATCACCTCCATGCGGGTTAGGGTGGCTTCAAACCCTTGGAGATAAAGGAGATCTCTGTGGAAAGTGCTGCTTTCAACAGTAGGATGGGAATTGTCTGAGAGCATGTGCTCCCTTGCTTGAGGAATTTCCCTTGGAAAACAGTAGCCTTTTCTATGTCCTGCTTGGATAATTCAGTTCGTTAATAGCAATCCCTGACCTGATACTTGGCAGAAATTCGGGTACCTAGCTAGCTACAGCAGAGGGCCTCCTGCTCCTCATTTTTATTATGGAAATTCAGAAAGCATGTAAGTGGTTGCGGGGGGGTCGCAGTTGTAGCTGGGGCTTTTTATACCTCTGGTGAAGAAAATGCCTATGACTTCGTGGGATCTTTAGTGGAAAGTTATTTTAAAACCCTGAAAGGAAGAAAGAATGAGTTTTTAAAGCAATCCACCCACCCATAGGTAGAGCAGAGCCACTGATGAAGCAGAGCACAAGTGTTGGCTAATTCTCAGTGAGCTGCAACACACTGGCAGATTTTGCAATTCCTAATAGTATACTACATTAAGGCAACCTTGCCTCCTTATGCGGTCCCTTTTAGCATTTTACAGCTGTCTTTCAAAGCCGAGGAATCTGCCAGGTAATGCCACTAAAAATAACAGCAACAAAAAATATCTGTGAATCTCTTCCTCTCTTGCTTTATTTTTTTTCTCTCCTCTACTTTTGTTTCAGTTTGGACCCTCCTTCCTTCTCTTTCTCTCAGGCTGGCTCTTTCCTGAGCTGAACTACATCAGCCTAAGGTTCTTCACATCTGTGTTACTGGGTTAGGTGCTGGGAGACTTGGTTTCCAGATGCTTTAGTGTAGTTGAGTTGAAATGGAAATGGCATCTCTCAAAGTGGTCTTTATTTGATTTATTTTTTTAAGGCCTCTAAAGAAACTCAGTTCAAAATGCTCTCTTCCCTCTTCCCCCCCCACCTTTTTTTTTTAATAGTGCCTGTCTGAGGATTGTCAGTTGAAGGGCGTCTGTGCCCAAAAGCTTGCAAAGAACAATTTTTGCAACTCTTTAGTTGGTCTAATAAAAGAGATTGCATCTACCCAAAGCACCCTGTCTGTCTGTGAGGATGGAATGCATTTGTGCTTCAGCCAGAGGTTCGGAGTGCCCAGGGAGTGATAGTTTTGCTTTCTCCTGCTATTTGGACATTGCCCAGCTGGCTGAATGTTGGTTGGTATTTATTGTTGATCAGTTTTCCGGCTCTCTTTGACCATCAGGAATACAAGTTCTTATTTTTCCAAGGCTCATGTGATTTAGTTAACATTTTTGTCTTTTGGTAAGCTGCTGATCTGGAATAATATTGGAAACTGAAGAATGGAGGATATTTCCTGTTGAGGCTATGTGAATACACAAAACTAAAAGGCTGGTGATTTTTTTTAATGGGCCTTTTTCTCTTCAGTTTCCTAGGAAATTACCTCAGAAAGGCTTATTTGCCTGCACAGACTAAATTCATGGCTTCTGTGGAAGGCATTACACAATCGGACCAGTTACACAAACCTGGGTTATTTCATAACTTGTTTACATCAGCTGTCCTCTCTCTAGCTCGCTCGCTCTCTCTCTTTTAAAAATTTTTTCCAGGGTTGCACTTGTTTTTTTCGAAATTATTATTATTTCTTGTGCAACGTGTGCAAACGACCTGGCAAAGTGAGGCGTGTTTCTGTTTTTGCATCAAGAAGGCTTGTTTAAAAAAAAAAATCGCCCAATATATTAAACTTTGCCAACCGTACCAGCCCGTGACATTCCTCACATCAAAGAACTTTTACCAGAAATGACTCTGAAGATTTCCCAGCTCTCTCCAAACACACCTCTTTGGTGCCCTCTGTAGGCTGTTCCTCCGAGGGATGTGAAGTTTCCAAGGATTGTAGTTTGGAACTGGATTATTCATCCTTACAGTAAATGCAAAGGCAGGGCAGGGGTGAGGGGTGGGGTTGAGAAATTGAAACTGCTTGGATTACTCTGGAGTTCTTTTGTTTTCTTTTCTTTTGTTTTTTGTTTCAATCTCAGTAAGTCTCGTGCATCGTGTGGCTTTTTAAGGAGGCTATGACACACTGAATGGATGTGCTGAATGTGTGTTAATGAAGTCTGACCCAAATGAGCCAATTTGATTTTTCCCTCTTGTTTTTTCTTTTCCTTCAAACTGCCAGTGTGTTTGTTGTTTGATATGCGCGCCAGAATGTAGTTTCTAAGGTTACTATCTTAATAGGGCTGAGATCAGGATGCTGGCTTAGGCAGCACATAAGTGTTTTCTTTAAGAATCTAGGAGATTTCTCAAGGCTCTTGTGTGTCTTTTTTCCCCTTGATCTTTGCAGATCTTGTAGACAAAAGCTTTGCCTCTGTCCTAGAAATTGGTCTATTCTGTTGATTCTCTACTGTGGAAATAAGCAATTTTATCACCACAAAAAACAAGCATCTTGCAGATTTTTCATTTCTTTTGAATCTTTATTTCCCGCTTTAGAAGCCAGACAAGTTGCATCAGTCACAAGTTTGAGTGGAAACTGCATTTCTGAGCCAAAATGTTGATGTTTTTTAATTATTCGAGCCACACAGCGCAGCACTGTAATATTTTTTTTTTTAAATGTTCTGTGCCGTCTCCTAATTCTAATCACAAACTTGCCTTGTGGTTAGCCCCGACTTCAGTAAGGACAGTGTACTCGCTGTTACTGTCTAGCAGATTTCCTTCTGCAGTATCCAGTGTGTGCAGAGAACTACTTGCATGAGAGAGGCTTAAGAAGGTTCCTTCCATTGTTATAGGATCATTTGGGTTGGAAAGGAGCACCTTCTGCTGGGCTCCCCTGGTTCCCCCTTTTTCCTAGCTGTTGTATCAACTTCCAAGGAGGGTGCTTTTTTTGTTTCTGTGTGCCTGCTCCATACACCTACCTGACTAACTTCAGCTGATCTGAACAGTTCAGTAAGCAAAAAGAGTACAAATAACTGTACAGAAGCTCCTCAAATAGATAGGGAAGGGAAAATGGACGGCCGGCAGCCTGAAACCCTATTCCGTTGCTGGTCTACATACCTGACCTTGTGACCTACTGGTCTAGCTCATCCCCTAGCATTATTATGGCAGAACTGATTTCACTGTCTTTGAGATGGCCCTGGGAGATGGAGTATAGGAAGCCATTACTCAGTGCCGTGTTTTAGATTATAATAGAAACAGACCTCAGCCCTCGGCATAACGTAGCGAAGGGGAAGCTACAGGGGTTGCTGTGCGTGGTATTTTGATCTGTGTGTTGCTTGGGTCAGCGGAAGGGCACTGGCTCTGGGGTCATGGTGGCTGTCTGGCTGCTTGTTCCACAAGGGAGACTGGGTATCTGGAGCGTATGGCACTGCAGTTTTATTACTACAGAACATGTTACATGGTGCTGCACATTTCCATGAAATTCAGGAACACCCTTGTAGATGCCCAAGGGCTAGGAGCAGAAAGAGGACCTGAGATGAACAATCCAGAGAGGGTGGATGTGGGGATCCAAGCTGAGGCGATGAATGGGCAAGCACAAGAAATAGGGATGAAATAAAGAGAGTGAGAGGAAGATGGCATGGTGGATGAGGGCAAGGGGGGTGTTTCAGGAAGAGGGGCCAGCATAACAGAAGGTACAAAAGCTGAGCTGGAAAGAACAGTAGATGGATTTGGGGAAGATCAGCTGGTGTTTCATTAGCCAAGTGGTGGGAACCTAGTAGCATTTTGGAAGGGGAAACTAATGGCAGTGCAGTGTCTTGGGTTAAAGCTGGGGAGTTACTAGAAATAGGAAGGAGAGAGCTGCTGCTGGGAAAACTGTGGCCAGTAAAGGATTGAGCAGAACATGGAAATAGCTGAGCTCACAGGTGGAACATAGATGTGCTGGTCTGCTCAGAGACCCAACGTCAATTAGAGCAGCAGGTGTCTTAAGACAAACTCTGACACAATCTGTAATTAGTTAGATGGAGAAAGGGGGGCAATAGTAGTGGATGATTTTTGTGCCAAATTACAGGGTTCTGAGTTTTAGCAGTATGCTTAAACACCATGTTACTGGGTAAGGAAGAGGGTTAGTGATAAAGAAGGTTCATCCCATAGACAAGAACCAAGTGGGATTTCCCTCACTTTCTGAATCTGTCCTGTATACTCTTACCCATCACAAAAGCTCTCTCTCTCTTCCCTAGGCTTGCAGAAAGCCTGTCTCAGGGTTTAACACAATCTAGGGATGCAGTTAAAGCTCTGTCTATGAGAGAATCAAGATTTTGCTCAGTAAAACGGGTAACCCAGTCTCCTGTCCTGTGTTTAGTGTTCTTATTAGTGCAAGAACCATGTATGTGGGGAAGGCCTAGATCAGTGACACCTGATCAGTGACATCTTACTGTGATGGCCAAATTATAGGGCAAATGCAAGATCTGATTACAAATCTAGGGGCAGGGGACCTCTCCAGTGTTGTATGGTCTGATCTTCAACTTGTCACAGTTAGGGCAGAGAGAAACTTCTCTCGTTCATCCAGGTAATTTGGTGATCACTGTAATTTTTTGGACCTGGTGGATAGGAACTCCTGCCTGGTCACTGGTCACTGAAGGACAGGATGTATATTACTGCAAAGGTCAGGTGTGCAGTGAGCCTTAATGTGGAAATCTTTAGCGCTTTCCCTCTGAGGATCCAAACCTGCCTTGCTATAGTTAGTTTAGCCTCATAGCCCCACTGCCATTGGGATAAGAATCAAAATACCACACTTTCCAGAGAGGGGGAACAGAAAGCTGTATAGAAAGTTAAGGACCACTGAGAAAGTCGGTAGTAAATCTGGAAGCCCAACCCAGATCTCTTAGCTGGCACTCCTGGGCTTTATTTGCTTCACTACTTCATGCTTTCACTCTGTGATGTCAGTCTCTTGGTAATTTGGCCTCTGTTGCCCCTGCTTTATTAGGCCACACGATGTGTGAGTATGAGGATGTCCTGTGTCACACAGTCACAGCTATGCTCAGCGCTGGTAAGGGAGGAAGAAATAGAGATTTTCAACAAACTCCTGTACAGGGATAGAGAACTAACCTGTAAGTCTGACTCTTTTCCAGACTTCTTGGGTCTAACCAGTTAGCCAGGAGAGCTCATGAAGATGGGCCTTTTGTTAAGATTTTGAGTCTTTGCAGGTCCTGTTTTGGTCCCGAGGTGACTCTCTGAGACTCTGGGCCTGGGGCTGTGGGCTCAGTGCCGGGGGGAGGAGGGTTCTTGCATATTTTTTTCCAATGTGATTTACTCGTATCTCTTCCCATCCTTTCCCCCTAGTTTGGCCTGTCTTACACTCCAGAGTGGAATGCGTCTGTGTTCAAAGTGGATGATTTTCGTGCAATCTCGGGCCTACTGAATTCAGTAGGTATTCATTTGAATAGGGTGCTCTCTGTGTGATATTGGCCCAAAGACCCAAACCAATCAGGGTATTAGCCTTAGTTTTAGGAAAGAACCAGTTTACATCCTTATCATAAAGCACAGGCGTGAGTGCTGTCCCGAAGTGGGCTACTTTCTTCACTGGTGATGTCCTTTCCCACATATTTTTCTGACTCTGCTCTGAAGTCATTCTGTTGACCCATAGCCATGCATTTACAGAGGATCACTGCAAGGGCCGTAAACTTGTTACCTAATTGCTGTCATCTCTGGTCCTAACAGCCCATTGTCCTCTATGTATTCAGACTTCGGATTGTTGGCCCAAGACCTGCCTGTAAAATCTAATCGAACCCTTGACAGCCCTCCGGAGAGGATCCCTGCCTAGACAAAAGCATTCTTTCTCTTGCTTCCCCCTCCGGGGACAAGCTTTTGTTTTCCTAGCCTCTTATCCAGGTGGATTTACCTCTGTCTGAAACAAGGCGTACAAGCAGAAGCATTTTAGAGGCAATCATTACCCACATTACCCACTGCCTTGGTTTAACTGCTGCCTTGTTTTGACTAGACTGGGCTGAGAGCTGCAAGGAACTTGCCAGATCTGAATCCTGAGATGCATTTTATAGGCTGCCATTAAAATATGCCTAGACACATGAAAACTTTATATGTGTGTGTGTGTGTGTGTGTGTGTGTGTGTGTGTGTGTATATATATATATATATATATATAGTGTGCCCTTGCACCCTAGGACAGAAGCCCTCCATTGCCCTGAGGCATATATGTGAGTTGCCACTGATGCTCATTGTACCAGATCACTTGTGCATGGGGCCAGAATTTAAGGGGAAACTCCTGTCTGCAGGAATAGAAGAGATCCCCTGTTAGACAGTTTCACAGTGCTTGGCCGTGGCTTTGGAGGGCTAAAGTTTCCCTTCCTTTTCTCTGGATTGATGGAGAAGTATTTTTCTAGAAACTCCCCAGTTTCCCTTTCACACTATGACACAACTTGCTATTCTGGGGCTGATGCTGTGTACGAGATGGGCAGAGAGAGGTGTGCAGTGGGAGCAGAGAAACAGTGGAGAAGACAGAGAAGAATAAGAGGGGCAAGGAAGGTGTAGAGGAATCTCAATGGTAGTGTCTCAGGCAGAAGTGGGATACAGCAAAACTGAATGGCACTGACTGATAAGGCCACCAAAATGACTTTGATCTTTCAGCATCGCAGGGTCCTGCTGTGGGGATTTTGTTCATGTGCTGTCTCTGCCACTGCCCTGTCCCCTATCCACTCCTGAGGAACAAGCACATGGATGGGCTGTTCTGCATGTAGCCGAAGTAGCCTGTGAGAGTTGGATGCCAGATGCTGAAACTCCCTCTGCTAGATGCAGCTAGAGGTTGACTGTTTGTGGAAACACTGAGATCTCTATGTAGTTTGCATACTGACAGGTTGCTGGGCCCTCTGCTTCAGGTGTTTAACCCCTGGATCAGGTGCCTAATGAGATACTTACCTAGGATGTCTGCCTGTCACCTGATATTCATAATCAGCATATACTAATTTCTCTCTCTCTTTTTTTTTTCTCTCTTCCTAGAAATTCCGAGTAGATATGCCAGGATCCGGCAGTGCTTTTATTCCCACGATTAATGCCATAACAACCAGCCAAGATCTGCAGTGGATGGTGCAGCCTACTGTGATCACCTCCATGTCGAGTCCCTACTCTCGCTCCCATCCTTACAGCCATCCTCTGCCCAACCTATCTTCGGTTGCTGGACACACTGCCCTGCAGAGACCTGGCGTTATTAAGACTATTGGGACAACAGTGGGCAGAAGGAGAAGAGATGAGCAGGTAACCAGGAAGGATGGAATGACTCATTCTCAATTGCGTAGGCTTGGGTATGGTTGGTGTTTGGATAGGAACCTACAAGAAAAAGCGTAGGTGCCACAGGTCATAGGGCTAGTGATTTAATACGAGGTGCCCTTCCCTCTCACTGAGATCTGGCTGGTAGCTGCCTCCCCTCCCCCATATTGTGATGTTGAAAGGCCTTTTTTGGAAGGCAAGATCTAATAAGCAAGGCTCTGACAGCTTGCAGCTACGTCTGGATCCCCTGGCACCTTTTGCAAGCTTTTTAATCCTAGCTTTTAATCCTAGAAAACCTGTTTCTGCTCCTAAAGTTTTGTCCTCTTAAATTCCCTTGCACTTTTTTTTTTTTTTTTTTAATTCAGTTTCATGTTCTTCACCTCCTGACCTAACCTTGATGTGTGCTGTTACTGTGAATGGTTAAATAGCTGCCTTGCATGGATGTAGATGGCAAATGAGTTAAGTCCTAAGGCCAGATGTTCCTGATTGACACTAATCACTATGCACAGATGCTTTTAGTGCCTCTTCTGCTCCCCGCATCCTTAGATTGCCAGTTAGACCCACCACAGATCTGCTTTCACTTGGGCTGCTGGAATGACCCTTGGGGACTGCTCCATTGGCTCTAGAGTTCCAGATCATGCCTTTCCCACCCCTGTTTGTCCTCTAAGCTGGAGTAACAGGACCAGAGGGTGTAAAATTAAGTTCTCATCAACTTACACCACCCAGAAATTCCTCTAGATAGAGGAAAAGCCCTGCTGCCCTTTTAAAGCAACTGATAACCCGAAGAAGAGGGAACAAGAGCTGGTGTTTACCTGTGGGCTCTGGGGTCTCTTGGAATGAAACACTGTAGAAGCCAGGGAGCATTTTATTACCACAACATCACTGCAAGTAGTTACTCAACTAAGTTTCTCCGCAAGCTTCTCTAGCCTGGGACAGTTTATGGCTTTGCCTAAAAAGCATCTGAAACTCCATAGTCTAGACTAAACCGGGTTTCAGTTTGAGTTTTGAGTTTGCTTGGTTGCAGCCCCAAGCAAAAGAGAACCTCTTGTGCAAACCACTGAGATTTGTGCAGTTCCACTTAAAACCTACCATGGTGAAGCAAGATAGAGGTGTAGGGCTGGAGGCTCACCATGTTGAGTGCTGGGCCTTCCCTTCCCCTGTGGATCAACTATCTCTGCTTTCTACCTGCTCCTCAACCAGCTGGCCCTACTCCAATTCTTGCCTTGTGTGATAGCATCAGAGTGAAACTAGCCAGAAGTGAGCGGTGGGAGGAACAGGCTCTCCTTGAGCAAACCTATCTGCGCTTACTAAAAAATAAGCTGCCTGTGTGTGAGATGGGCAGGGCCTTCAGCCCATTTTCTAGCTGGAAAGTGTCCGTGCTCCTAACCCCAGCACCCAGTCTCTTGGCAGCATGAGCTAGGCTGAGCAGAGGTTGAGGGGTACTGTACACTCATGTCTTCAGAGCTCTTGGGGACATCAGCATGGCTAGGGCAGTATGGTTGTAGTGCCACTACTCCTGCTGCACACCTGACATCAGAGCACCTCTCTGTGGAGACCTGTCAAGCCATTGCTTTTCACGTGCTCAATCCACTTCTAAAGTGGATGTGAATAATCTGGTTCTCTCCGTATTACTCAGAAGCAGCGGTTTTGCGGGTCATTGCAGAGAAATGTGATAAGACATTGCATACGTTCCATCGATTCGATGGCTGTCGTATTAGGGCTGTTTTTAATAAAACACACCAGCCCTGCTTTTACTTCCACCTCATCTGTTCTGATTCACAGTCTGACTGCTACATTGTGTCTCTGCTGTTTTTGGCTTTCCAGAGCAGGGAAGGAGTTAACATTGCTCACGGTCAGTGTAATTCCCCTCTGCACAAAAAGCTAGTAGAGTTGCACTCAAGCCGTATTCTATTAGCATGTGTTTGCTCAAGAAGAACTTGATTGTCCATTAGGTGTTAAGTGGAGCATAGATCTTATGCAAGGCTCCTGCACTAGGCTGTATTTCCACTAGTTTCGCTGCAGTGCAATGCTCTGTTATCTAAAGTGGAAGGAGGCTGTCACAAGAGCTGGAGGAATAATTAGCAACAATCAGTTTGCCTGACAAATGTTGCCTTTGCACTTACAAATTGGCCGTGAAGAGATCACCATATTCTTCAGTTTAATTGTTAGATTTGTTTGCCTAGGAATGCTTGCCAGCAATTCCTGGCCTGTGGCTTGTTTGCAAGTGGTTCAATGTGGGGCGTTCAAATTCAAGCCCTTTTGAATAAAAACCATGGGGATTTGATAACAGAGTAGGTGAACTTGACCCCTGAGGTTGGGTTTGGGCTGTGGGGATGCATACATCCCAAACATAGAATGTATTTATGGAGAAGATTAGTAATATTTACTAAAAAACCCCCCAAAAAGAGGCTATTTGGGTGAATGTTCTTGCCAGGAAGAGCACACATGAGGTTATTCGCAGTGAACTAATGCAAAAAATGTCACAAACCAGATGGAACCAAACTCATTTAAACAAGCCAATGGAGAAACCATTTTGGTTTTGTTCCCATGAAATGTTAAAGTTAAACGTGTTCAGATTATGGCTTTAATTCTAAACAGTCCTGGGTGATCATGGGACTTGTAAAAAAACAAATGAATGAAAAAAGGCATCCTGAGCTAGATTGTTAAATGGAATTTAAGGTATAAAGACGAAAATTTGGGTCCGAGATACTGTTCAGTACAGATCAGGCTCCTAAATCATATGGAGACCTTTGGAAATCCCATCCATAGATCCAGGGTTTGAATTGCACTCCAACTCTTGCGGGGGGTAGTGTGTGGTTGTGGCAGCTGGAAGCTGAAAGGAGCTACCATCACAGCCTGAGCTGCTTAGGAAGGTGCAGGGTGGGCCAGGGGCTCTCGTCTCTTATGGGGGAGGGGCTCAGCCCCCATGAGCTCCCCTGTATTTTGAACCCTGTGTAAGTCCCAATTCAGCAGAGAACTTAAACGTGCTTACGGACTTTGTTGAATTGGGGCTGTATCTGTATGACAGCTACATACATACGTTGCATATAGTTTTTGCAAGTACAGTCATTTTTATTCTATAACCAAACAAAATAATAAAAATGTACAACATTTGTTTAAAAAACAAGGCAAAGCCTAATGGGGGAAGTGCACAAAGATTCAATTAAGCTTCTTGAGACTGAAACGATGGAGGGATAAAAAAAAAATCCAACAAGAAAAAGAAAATCAAAACCAGAATGAGGGTAGGCAGAGTAAAAAAATATAAAAGAACAGATACCAAAAAAACCTATGAATAATGTGTTCGTTGTGTTATCAACAGTCCCAAAAGGTATTAAAACTGAAAGCTTTCTGAAAGCAGCATCCTTCCATTATTTGCTGGCAGTTTATATTTCTGTACTAGACGAAACTGCACACTTGAATCTGTTTCAGTTTTGTTTATGCTCAGCGGGGCTGATCCTCTCTAGAGGAAAGCAGCCCAACAAACCTGAAGTTGGTGGAGCTGTGCCAGCTCACATCAGCTGGGGCTGTCCCCACATCGCTCTTTGCTTTGTACATGCTTGCTAGGAGTCCCGCAGGGGAATGAATAAGTAATTCCGGACAAAAATCTGCTCTGTGCTGGAACCTAAAAATGACAGGCTAAATTCTCAGCTGGAGTAAGCCAGCATAGCAGTGAAGGCTTCATCTAGTGTACTGGTGTATACCTACTGACAGCCTGCCCTGACCCCTGCCACTACAGTAGCATTTTTTCTGTTGTCAAGTTGTGTAAAAATCCCCCCCTCCAAACCTAAATGTTGCTTCTGCCTTGCCCAAACTCAGAGTCCTATCCTTCCCTTCTTCCAGTTTTGCAATAATGCACCTCCTTGTGCTTCTATGGAGTTACTTTTGACGTATACCAGTGAAAAGATGATCTGGTCCCAGAGGTCTCTTTATGTTTCTGGACTGTAGCCTGCCAATATAGGAAGTACAGCATGTGACCTTGACCAATGCTTGGAAATCTGGAGCCAGATCCTCAGCTGGTGGAAATTGTCATAGCTTGGTGGGGTTCAGTAAGTCTTGCTGATGAAATCTTGGGCCCTGACCTTCTAGTGAACAACTGTTTTTGTGTGGGAAGAATCTGATATTTTGTTTTCAAAAAAGAGGCACTTACAACATCTTGCTCTGGTTTTGCTTAATATACCACCCAAGTTGTGAAACAATCGGAGCATCTTTTTATCTGTTTGGCCTTGGCTGCAGATACACTGCCTGCTTGCACAATTATCCACTCCTAACTCTGCCTTTTTCCCCAGCCCCTCATTTAAGACCCAGTCCCAGGGGAGGTGCCAAATGCCTTCATCTCCCACTTGCAGTCAGGGAAACAGCGTGCTCAACATCTTGTAGGGGCAGGTCCTTTTTCACTCTGCAGTGAAGTGTTCCCAATCTGCACGAAATTATTTGCTCAGATCTGGTTGTGAGGTTTGTTTTTATTCTTTTTGGCGCTTGCCTACAGCTGTCACCCGAAGAAGAGGAGAAGCGAAGGATCCGGAGAGAGAGGAACAAGCTGGCAGCTGCTAAGTGTCGTAACAGGCGTCGAGAGCTGACAGAGAAACTCCAGGCGGTATGTGCTCTACATGCATTTCTCCCCTCCTGATTATGCTCATCGTGGACCACCCTACACTATTCCTCTCCATCTACTATCATGTTACAGAAACATGCTGCAGAGTGGGCATCATGTTCTCCTTCAGTGGCTGGTCTAGTGAGGTTAGCTGCTTCTAGCAGCTAGTGGGGTTAGGTTTCTGGCTCATGTTCTAGAGCTTTGTGCGGTGCTGTTCAAGATCATGGATCCAAACCCTGCTGACAAGACATGAGGTCATTATATTTGAGCCACGAGTCCCCACTACACCTATTTTTAGCTGTCAGTTGACAAGTTCTGAGTGCACATGGTTGTTACACTGTTGAGCCTCCCAGACATGTTTTGTACTTGATTGCCAATATAGCATTTCCCTTCCCATCCTGTGATTAATTTATATTAATTCCTCATGCAGCATTTGAACAAGTTAAACCAATGACATTTCCTTTAGTAGGATTTCCAGTGTACTCCAGTAGGATCTTTCTACAGGTCCTCTAAAAAGGAAGAATTACTCACTGTGTACAGCATTACCCTAGGATTCAGGAAAGCTGGTTCAGACCCTTGTTTTGCCACCAACATCCTCTGTGGCCTTCAGATACTCACCTAGGTCAGAATTCTGTGTCATCAGATACCCAGAGTACAGTTTGCAACTTTGAGTTTCCTGCCTATTCTGTGGGAGCAGTTGTTATGCACTCTGAATGTAAGTGCCACTTTTACAGGACCAGGGAGAAGTCTGCATCTCCAGAGGGCAATCTCATTCCTATAATGGAAGCATTTACATACTCTGAGGTGGTAATAGATTTGGTGCTACACAGGAGTTGGGTAACTCGGATACCCTCACATAAAACTCTGGTAACCTTAGTCTCAAGCTGCATATTGGTCACCCCTGAGGTGACATTGAATTCTGCCTTTAGTCTCTGTATGCCTCAGTTCCCCATCTGCAAAGTGGGAGCAAAAGCAGTGTCCTTCTTCAGAAGAAAACTCTCAGGACACGTGCATTAAAATCTGTAAGGTGCTCTGATGACTGCAAAAATGGGTTAAAATGCAATATAGGCCTTTATCAAAGAGTTTTTATCAAAATCTTGCTGGACCAGCCTGGTCTCTCTTCAGCGAGAGAGCTGCTTTTTCAAGGAAAAGCAGTAGATCCCATCTACCTGCATAATGGGTTTCACTGATGGTGCCTAATTAGTTTGGTTGATGCCAGATGGCAACAGGTGACTGGGGAGTAGTACATACTCAAGATTGAGAGCTCAGTCCAGTGGAATCTCTTTGGTAGGCAGGATTGCTAAGGCAGCTTTGTGTCTGAAATGTGCTGTATGAAGAGGCAATGACTTTTTCTCAACATCCTCTGGTAGTACAGCAGCAGTGGAGAAAGTCATTGAGCCTGGAACGCGGTATGCTTTTCCTGTTGTTTTCCTGAGACATTCTTCACCCTGGTTGTGCATTGCCTTAACACCCATTCGTTGCTAGTCCTCACTGCTGTGGAATGTGTTGGCATTCTTTGAGGTCCCAGAGGTACTAAAAACAGGGTGTTCACAGCGTGCACAGGTTGGATGGCTCTGAAAGTATGTATTTGAAGCTGTCCCAATGGATAATCTGTAATTAAGAAGGATCACCATGTTTCTGACTGACTTGTGCCAAACCAGAATGAAGGGGCACTGGGAGGGCCCATGGGATATCTGATTAGTTACTGTCTGTGCCTAGAACACTTTGGTAAGGCTATTCTTCCATGCTCCCCTGAGGTACGCATTGAGATTTATGTATTTTCCCTTTTGTCTGCAGGAGACTGAGGAGCTGGAGGAGGAGAAATCAGTACTGCAGAAAGAGATAGCAGATCTGCAGAAGGAAAAAGATAAGCTGGAGTTCATGTTAGTGGCTCATAGCCCCGCATGTAAAATCAGCCCAGAGGAGCGTCGTAGCCCCCCGTCAAGCAGCCTCCAAACTGTCCGGACCGGAGTGAGTGGAGCTGTAGTGGTGAAGCAGGAGCCTGTGGAGGAAGAGATCCCATCCTCCTCTTTGGTCCTCGACAAAGCCCAGAGGTCTGTCATTAAGCCCATCAGCATTGCAGGGGGGTTTTATGGGGAGGAGTCACTCAATACTCCCATCGTGGTGACCTCAACGCCTGCCATCACCCCTGGCTCCTCTAGCCTGGTCTTTACATACCCCAATGTGCTGGATCAGGAATCTCCTCTCTCCCCTTCAGAATCCTGTTCCAAAGCTCACCGGAGAAGCAGCAGCAGCGGTGACCAGTCCTCGGATTCCTTGAACTCTCCAACTCTGTTGGCGTTGTAATCCCTCTGCATCCCCCATTTGCCAATGTGTTACATTCCCGCCCAGTACCCTGGGGGGACACCCCCTCCATGGGATTAAAGACAGGCACAAGGTCGTTTAAGCACAAGGGCAGCAAGAGCAAGAAAGGGGAAATGCTGTGGCTCCAGGACCTTCCTGGGGCAGGAAGAATGAGAACAAACAGAAGCTCCATGGAAGAGGAAATGGCAATGGTGGGAATGAAATGCCTTGTCTGTTTGGAGAGGGGGAAATCCCTCTGTAGGAGCTGCCTATGGAAATCTTTTTGTGTCTTTAGAGGACTTGGGAAAACACTCTTGGCCAGGACTGGAGGCGAGCTGCAGAAAGTCACTAATCATCCCTTGCCTTTGTGAATTACTTTGAAAGGTTACTTGCTGTGCTTACTTAAACCTGGTTAGTTTTGATCTTACTAGATATTTTTCTGTCTTATTTTTTGTTGTTGTAGCTGTTGTTACCAAGACATTTCATCTAGTCAGTCTAAACTCTAAAGGCTTGTTATGATCTTTGTTAGCTGCTGATGATGTTGGGGAAGGAGTTGTAGGAAACATTGCTGTTGTCAAGGTGGGAGGGTGGATTTGGAGGATGGAGGGGGGAGTTGAGAGGCACCCCAAGGACTATGTGCAGAGTTTGATTTGATAGCGTATAAGTCTCTGTGACAAGGACATGGTGAAGAGACTGTAGGAGGCTCATATGTTTGGGTTGGGGGAGGCAAGGAGTGAGTATGAGAGGAACCATTGAGTGTGAGAGATGCTTTGTTCCCCTGTGCAGTGCAATAGCCAGGTTAGCAAAACACCTCCTGTATGGGGCCAGGAGAGGTGCCAGGAAACTGATGGGATGCTAGAGTCAGTTTCCACTAGACTTTGGCAGTGTTTCTTCTGTAATTAGGGTTTGCCAGATTGGCTTCTGGACCTTGTTTCCTTTGCCCTGGCTGCCAGCCACCGTGGGTGTAACTCACCTTCCTCCTCATCGTAGTGTCTGATTCAGAGGTTGATCCCAGCCTGAGAGCAAGCCTTACCTCCCCAGCCCATATCCAGAATGTGTCGCTAAAGAGAATGTGCTGGTCCTGTGAATCCAGGAAAGAGATTAACTGAAGACAAGAGGGCAAGGCTACCTGGACGTTCACTTGGCTGCTTCCTTTCGGCACCCATGCAACAGTGCATTTGTACCTCTGAGCTCTGTTTGGTTCTGTCACTCCACTCATAGTTTCCTTGATGTTAAGGTCAGAGGGGCCCATTTTGATCATCCATTCAGACCTCCTGTATAGCACAGGCCATAGGACTTGAATTAAATCCTTGTCAGAATTACAGCACATCTTGTAGAAGAACATCCAATCTTGATTCCAAAATTGACAGTGATGGAATCCATCATTACACCTCAGTCCCTGGCATCTGTTGGGTTTTGCTGCTTGATTGATATGGGGGAGAGGAGGTTCTGGTCTTCAAGGCACCTGGAGAGCTCTGCCCCTTACCACCCTGGGTCTTCTTACGCACGGTGTTTGGTGCCAGCACAGTGTCCCTGATCAAGCACAGCTGTTTAACACTGATGTTCACTACTGATAATGGTGATGTGCTTAACCTGAGTTCATCAGCAGTTAGCTTCCAACTCTTGTTGATGTCAATGACACTGAAGGATCTTGGTCACGTGCTCAGCTCCTTCACATCCTACTGACTCCACTGGAATTAAGACTGCTCAACACCTGGCTGGACCTGACTTTTACTGAGCAGTTGGTGGTCCTGCAGTATCTTTGAATTTTTATATCTTTCTTAAAGGGTCACTGTCTTGGCCCTGAACAAAAATGTTGCAGGGATTGTTATTTTTATTGTATTTTTTAAAACAAGCATTTTACAAGCTCTTCTGCTGTAAGCAGAAAGATATTAATGAGTTCCTACAAAACTGAAGTCCAGTAGTCCTGTTTTACTTCTCAGCAACTTAAATCTTTTCTACATTATTCCAGCAACAGAGATCTAAAACTAGACAGTGTTACATCAGGAAAAATTGCTGCTTCTTTTACCCAGTCTAGCAGAGTCTCCCTTGCTTCGGGAATATTCAGTAAAATGGCCTTGTTTCACTCCCACCCCAACACGGTGGAACATCATGCTAACAGGTGGTGACTCCTCTTAAGACTTTCTTTTTTTTTTTTTTTTTTCTCTGCTTGCCACCCAGTGCTTCCTGGACCAGTTGACCCAATTTATCATTTTGCAGAGAGTCACTGGAACAGAGGTTGGATTGATAAATGAGGTCCAATCCTACAAGGAACTGAGTAGAGACCTGCTTCCTACACTTCTGAGTTTATTCAATTGGCAGCAGGAGAGCAAACGCCTCCTCTGAAGTCTTGCTGATCACCACACAAGTCTGTTGTGTCTTTGAAAATATTTACTAGACCCCTTTAGTATTGGGAAATGAGGCATTGCTCACAAGCTGATCAGCTGCCTGTCAGACTTGTGATATGACAGCCATTGATTGTCCTTACTGTAGAGATGTGCTGACAAACCTCCAGGAGAGTAACAGATCCATCCAGCATTGGTGGGTAAGCAGAGAAGCAAAATATAATCTCCAGTCATCCTTTCCCTTGCCTATAAAACCTCTCTTTGTCATCAGCAAGAGTCAGACTTACAAATGAGAGGTGCCTGTTAACACAGGTGGCCTAACCCCCTGTCTCAGCTATAGATTGCTTTCTACAAGGGATTTCAAGACTTTTTACAGATACCAAACCCTTAGCTTAAAGTCTAAAAATAATTACTTGTTTCTGTCTTTATCTAAGCAAAAGAGTCCCCTTTCCTCACCTTTGTGCCATGGGGGCACATCCAATGGAAAATCTGGCTCCTCTCTTTAGGCCTAATTCATTGTGATGTTGCCAGATGGCCCCATCCTCCTCTGTCTGCCTTTAGGCCATAAGACTCTTTACATTTTTCTTGAGTGATGATGACACATTAGCTTTTTGATAGTCTTGTTACAAGTCAAGATACAGCCTGAAGTCTCTGTGAGATGGGTCCAGGATCATTTTTATTATGAGTGTCAGCGAGCACATCTACACATGCACTGATGTGCCGTAGGTACGGTGCATTAAGTTTTTAGTACCTGTAATAACAGGTACTAACTAAATGTGCAGTAATTGGCACTACTGCCCAGTAGCTCTGGCACACACCTTTTTAGTGACACTAATGTGCAGGAGATTCATTCTACTGCAGTTAGTGCAGTAGCACGGCTTTTGCTGTGATGTGCTAATGTGCAGTAGAATTAGTCTTCTGCACGTTTAGTGCCTTGTGTAGACGTGCCCAATGTCACCTGCTCTCTTCCAGGTGTTGACCGTCCCCACTAGTCCCCAACTGGTGCTCACCATGAACATCCACTACAGGGATTCCTGGACGTGCAATGACTGAATGTTGTATGTGCCTGGTTGGGGCTCAGGGTGGATGACGTCAAGAATCCAAAGGCTATCGTAGTCGGTGGAAAGACCTCTAGGGATTTCAACAGCCTTTGGATCATGCCCCTGATGACTGACTCCAATTCAGTAAAGTGCCTAATAACATGCTTAAAATTAATCACTGCCAACGTGGGTGGGAGGGGAGCAGTAGCAGTTAAATTGAAGGAAACTTTTATTCAGCCTGCAAGTGATATGTCATCCTGATGTCGCCCTCCTTTCTCCCATGCCCCCTTCTAGCTGTGACATTTGCCTCTGTCCTTTTCTTTCTCTATGGTATAGGCACTGGCTAAGTTCAGAAACTGCTTGTGGTATGATAGGACTTGGGACCAACATGCTGGGATCAGTCATGGGGTTTTTTTGTTTTTTGCGTTTTTTAATCTTGTCAGATGAACTTAATAGATCATTCAAATTCCTTTATTTTTGCTGCTTTCTGCATGTAGGATCCACCTGGCCTTAGTCTGAAAAAAAGGAAAGAAAGAAATAGTATCTCGTTATTTATTGGCAGACAAATATTTTGTGCCTGCTCCAGCAGATCTGCCCACCATTAATTTAACCTCATGTTCCTGGTGTTTTGTCACCCCCCCCCCCCTTTAATCCTAAAGCAGAATTCTGAAGCATTGAATTTTTTTTTTTTTTAAATGACTACAACACTTACAATCTCTTTCTCATTTGAAAGGCCAGGTCAAACATTTTTAGAGGTGGGGGGTAGAGGGGGGAGAGGGGAGGGAAGAGTCTACCGCTTAGTCCTTATTTATTTATCTATCATGTTTACATCTTTTTCTCTGTTCCAGACCTGGATATAAAAAAGACAGCATTAAAAATACTCAACTTTTTTTTGCAGGCTAATAATGCTTTTTTTCATTTCTTAAATGATTCCTTTTTTGTCTGTATAAAATGTATAAAAAGATATGTTTCTAAAGATGCATTATCATTCCTCTGTGAACAGTAGTTAGGGCTGGGGACACATCTCAGAGTACAAGATAATAACAAAATCTTATCCTGTTCTACTTAATTGTTCCCCTCTCATACTGTCTGATTAAAGGGTTATTCCACTTTCTTGTCTGTGGTTACTTGATATTAAAAACATATTAAAATGTGTAGAAAATAGGTATAAAATTGTTTTTGGTCAGTGAGAGGATAAAATGTTGTATATATCTTGATAAACTGTGTAGTTCAAAATAACATCGATAAGGGATAGTGCATCTTTATTAGAGCGATAAGTTACTAGTGTCACTGAAGTCTACTTTAAGATCCTTGTAGGATAAAAGGGCCTGATTCTGATTCCACTCAGATGTGGGTAAATCAGAAGTGATTCCACTGAAGTGAAATCGGAGGAATCACACTAGGGTAGAAGCAGTGTGATGGCAATCGGGATCAGGCCCCAAAGATTCATACACATCTATGGAGATCAGTGAATGTTTGGGGCACCAGGATTTTTTTTTCTCAACAAGTTTAGATAGTGATTTTTTTGTTTTGCCTGGGGTGAAATAGTTTCTGTCAAGAAGGTTCTTCAAGGTGACTGTTGAATTGGGGCCCTTCATTCCTTTTTGATCTTTATATAGTTCTTGTGGTCATGGAGAAACTCGGCTCTGAAGCACTCTCTCTGGTGTTGACTCTCTTTCTGTTCTTGTTATTTTACTGTAATACAGGCCTACAGTATTTGCACTAAAACAAAAAAGCTTGTTAGAGAAAGCTTGCTGCTATGAAAGAAAGAACATATTAAAATGGTTTTGCTTTTACAATTTTACCTGAGTAGCATTTTATAGAATAAAAATCAATTTAGATTGAGAAGAAGAATGATTTTTTTGCCCCTCTCCCAACCTTCTTTCTTTTCCTTCCATTCCTCTGTGGTCTGTTATTCCTCCTTCCCTTGGTGCTCAGTTGTAATGATTGGCTGTGTTGTGACTATGCTGCTGAGAGTTATGACACTTGTAAATCCTGTTTTAAAGACATTGTGGACACTCTTTTGTATAGCGAGAGCTAACTGGAGTTCTTCTTTTCTCTGTTAATTGAAGTCATTAAAAGACTCTTTGCCATGAACAATTAAAAGCTTGCATGTTCCTTCTATCCAAACAAATGACTACAGCATTGCCAGGTGCCTGTCCATAATGCATCTCAGGGCTTTTTTTATGAAAGGGGCTGCAATCCAGACAGCTGTTTAGCTGGAACAATGGTAAATGAGGCAGAAGCTAAGAGAATGAACCACGTGAGCTGGAAGGCAAATATTGTGTCGATCCTTTTATCTTTCCTTCAAAGAGAGAAGGATGGCTCAAGAAAATGCAACATATGACCAAATTCTTTTTTACTATCTTTTAGGCAGAACTCCAAGCTTCCACCGAGGTCTCTCTGCCCAAGGGCAGGGCTTACCCATGGATTGCTTCACCCACTTGAAAGAAGCAACTGCTCTTGGGGTAGAGGATGGCACAAATTTACCAGCACACAGTAACAGGATCCCCTAGTTTAGGACATGAATGGAAGGGCATTGTATCCAACAGAAAATACAGGGGAGATTTTTTCCTTAGGTGATACAGCATTAACCAAACCAACATCAGGCCTAAATACTCACATCAGCAGCTCTAGTCCTACAAACCACCATTGTGATGTCTTATGAGCAAGAACAGTCAGTACTGTGGTATTTGTAAGCCTGGGAATACCCCTTCTTCCCTAAAGGAAGCTGTTTTCCTCAGCCCATAGTAAAAATGGCTGCTAGGGAAACATACTGATATGCCAGAATAGTTTTATAGTGATTAAGTATGAAATATTCTTGAAGACTGAGTCCTGAGAGAATGGTGCTTAGCCAGGAGCCACCAGGCCCCAGAAATAAGCCCACGTCACTTGTGTGTGGTGGGTAGGATTGCTTATCATAGCTATGTTGCAGACACGGATGTTAAGGCCCGAATAGCCCATGGGGAGTGCACTGCTTTGAAACAGGCCTTTCGAGTCGGAGATGATGCAAGTGGCAAAGCACAATATGCATGCTTGTATCCAAAGCCTCATCTGACTCTTCTCTTCCTGCTGTGTTGAGGCAAAGATGCCTTTAGTCTCTGTCTGTCAAACCAGCTCCCATCACCAGTGCTAAATTCACTTAGAAGAAATCAGGCAATAGAAGGACATTATTCCTCATCCCCAAACACGCATACTGTGTGCTGTTCAAAGACCCTATTTGGTAACACTGTGCTATGCAAGAGGAGGTTGGAATTACTTCTCCTGTAAAGCTAGGTGCAAGTTGCCTGTCCACTGTAACCTTCTCCCAGCACTCACTGTTTGTAACTGGCTTTTATCATGGTTAGCCTCCGGACAGTGGAATGTCTGCAAAGTTACTGTAATTTGGTTCTGAAAGATGAAAGTACACAGCAGGACACCTATCTTCCACTTGCATTCCTATCTGTGGGAGGCTAAGTTCAGCCACATTTGCATGGGAATCTTGTTTTCCGCAGGTTTCACAGGGTTTTTTTCTTTCTGCTTGTTTGAGTATTTTTGAGCCCCCATCTCATACAGGAGAAGGTGTCTCCTCTGCTTTACACCAGCTTGGGTTCCCCAGATGCTGGGAGCTTACTGTGAAATATGGGGAATTTTGTGTTGCCACAAACCCCAACCTGGTTCTGGACCTGGGTAGTGCCAGATGCAGAAGCTGCCTCCTGCATTTTACAGGAAAAAATGAAAAAAAAAATCTGATCAAGAAAACCTTTTTTCACAGGGTGACTTCCTGGTCTGCTGACCTCATGACTGAGTTCAAGAATTAAGAGGCCACTGCTTCTCTTTTGCCTAATTTCCCATTATTAGATGTATTCAGATCTCCTTTTTTAGTTTTCCATAATCACTGGCACTTGAGAAAGGAGCTCTTCCCAAGAAGTTACATTACTAAAACTAGTTTATAGCAGGGGTGGATCCGAAGGGGGTGCACAGGTGCAGCTGCATTCCTCCCTTTTCTTCCCCCCTGTTTCTGACCATGTGGCAGGACCAGCAGCTGGGGACTTCTTTTAAGTCCCCAAAGAAGGCAACTCCCTTCCCCTCGATCACCTCCCTCCCTTCCCTATCTGCCACTTTCCCTGCTGTCCTGGAGGCCTGGGAAACTCCAGTGTTATTTTGGCTGGGTTCTGCGGGGCTGAGTTCAGCCTAAAATGGATGGGCTCCCCTTCCCACTGGCCTGGGAGTAGGCATAGGGAGGGGGAAGCCACCACTGCCATTGTCCCAGACTGAGCCCAGCCCTGGTGCTTCCTGGCTGGACTGACTCTGGAGCTCCCCTTGCCCCCAAGACTGGGGACAACAGCAGCAGTGGGTAGGGGACAAGAGGAGAGGGGATATGCCTCTGGGTGGCAGGGGAGGGGGGATGTTTACCTGTTTTGGGGACTTTAAAAAAGCCCCTAGACGCTGCTCCCATGACACTCTCTGCCCTGGTGTAGGGGCAGGGGAGAAGGTTGGGAAAGGAGCACCAGTCACTACTACAGCTCACCCCCCCCCCCCCCCCCCCCCT